ACACGTTGATTAATTTTTTTTTTTTTATTTAAATTCTTCATTTATATAGTGTAAATTTAATTTTGTACTTGTATTAATTTTTCTTGTTGAAATATTTTAATTATGATTATCTATTTGTTATTTACTAATAATTTTAAGTTAATAATATATAGTATTTTTAATAAACAAGGAAAAAGATTATGGTAGAGTGTCCGAGGAGTGTCGATATTGACACGTGTTGAACATGCTTCTGTAGTTGAAGTGACTATGCTAAAGAGAATTTTTAATTAACTTGATATCTATGAAGAAATGCTGTGTCGAGCACACTACCTTAGTTGAAGTGTCTGTACAAAAGAGAATTTTTAATTAACTTGATATCTATGAAGAAATGCAGACCTGGCCTAAAAGAAAAAATCTTGCACCAAAATAATGGAAAAAGGACATCTAGTTATTCAGTTGCAATAAAAATTGAATGCATAGACCTTGCAAATGCACTGGCAAAATGTCTGCATTCTCCTCTCATTGGACAAGCATTGCAATTCGGTTTGTTTTTAGTACAGAACACCTGAAAAGATAGAAGAGGTTGCCTTTGGCTTATGTCTTTAAATGTGTTTAATATTTTTGAAATATAAAAGACATCCTTAAGTGAATGTGGCATACCTTTCCAAATGTAATCATCTGGTAATGCAGCTCATACCTGCAATGAATTAACATCTCAACTTTTGAATGACACTTTGCTTCAATTATCAATTATGTATGATTAATTAGCAAGTATAGATTAGTAAAAAAATTATGATTACAGTGTTCTTTGATCAAGCTTGCAGAGTCGTGGCCACAGATACTTCTGAATAGACTCCAATACAGGGTACCTATGCAATCACAGAAGCATGATTATTATTTTTTTGATACTGCAGTATCATGAAAAAAATCTAATGAGCAATGGAGTATTTACAGTTCTAGAAGATGCAGCTGAAGTGACTCGGGCAATGGTTGCAGAGGTACCCATCCCAATCGTACAGCTATACGACCAACATTCGTGTCAACCTTTTAGAAGTATAGGAAATAAAAATAAGTTAGTGAAGTTCTCTTCCATATTGCTTGAAGGATCTGTAATGGGGCTTAAATCTTACTGGAAAAGCAAGGTGATGCAGTGTCAGAAGACGTACGCACTCCACACTCTTCAAACCCAAACCCCTTACGCTTAATAGATACTCTCTGAAAAGTATAAAAGGTTGTAAATGGACTATGTTTTTTGATTGTGAAAAATATTTGGGAAAATCCTGCAAGTTTACTTTGCTTTGTCTGGTGGAACATCCCTTAGCCATTCCAGATCAATGCTTCCATGGTCTCTAACAAGGCGATTGAGGAATTCCTGCACAAGTTTTGCAAATGGTTATCAACTGTTAAAATAGATTGGCTGGATGTTTCTATTTTGTGTCGACTGAGATATTAAATATTTGAATGAGTAGATTCTTTGTTGCAAACTAAACCTGGATTCTCTCTGCCAGCACATTGTTCATTCCCCTTTCTTTGATGGTCTTCGCAATCTCATTAACATCTGCACATCTTACTGCCTCCCAGTCTACTGAGTCCATCGTGTTGGCTGTTCTCTCTCTTCTTCTGCCACCTTCTTGTGCCTGGTTCCTTAAGCTATCCCAATCGACTGGCTTCTGTTTCTCTTTTCTAATTCTTCTTCCTTTTGCTTTAGGTTCACTATCTGTTTGACCCGGAATTTTCAAATTTGAGCAAGTATCTTTGTGCTCGGGTATTCTTAAATTATCAATGTTACTGCTACCTGTTATGTCTGTCAAATTTTGTGGAAACATCGTGACGTTTGATACTTCTTGCATTGTGTAGTTATTTTCTTGAAAGTGAAACTGTGAATCCTGTTTTCCTGTAGGATTTTCAGGTACCTTTTGGTGCATGTCAATTTGACAGTTGTTGATTGAATGAACCTTTTCACTGCTGAATTTTGAGACTTCACGACTGATTGCCAAGACCTTCTGAATTGTAGCCTGGGTTGCAGATTCTGCAGACAACCCACTTAGTTCAGTATCACAAGGTCCTTTAGCATAGGTAATATTTGAGCTTTTGCCATTCTGTTGAGGTAGATCAAAGCATTCTGCTACTTGTGCACCTGAACTGGGTTTCGGACACAAAGCGGGCTCACTGCAGGTAATATCTGACTGATTCTCACTTTGATTTTGTGAGTCAGAGGCCATTCTCTCTGGTTCTATCTGCCCATCCATATTGCACAATTTGTATCCATTTCCTTGATTTTGAGCTCCATTTAGTATAGTCCATGACATCTGTGACAGCTTTAGATTAGAAGTAGAGCAACAAATGCTATTTGGTTTCCTTCCAGATGCTGCTTCTGCTTCTAAGGTTCTCGGTAAGCAAGATTCTGTTGTTTCTGCACTTTGAGCTATTAAAGAATCTGCGGAGTTCTGAGAGTAAGAATTTTGAGAAGAGAGTGTATCATCCAAGTCTCTTTCATCGGCAATAAAACCTATTGACGTGTTCACTGCAGATTCATGGGATGTATCTGCACTATTTTTGGAGACAGCTGACAATTGATGGCTTAAGTTATCTTTTGGTAAGGTAACAATAAAGCTATCTTCAGGGTACTGGACACTGTTAACTTCTCTAATCTCATTGTGGTCAGAGACTTGAAGCATCTTAGAATCTTCGCCACAGATTGGCTTATTTAACCTTTCACTCCATCCAAATGTATCCTCAGTATCTGGATTGTGCACTTCAGGTTCTTTGACTGTGATGTCTACTCTCTCTTGACAAGATTGTCCTCGGTTGCTTTCTGATTCCAACGGGAATCGGGCAGCAAGTGACATAAAGGCAGAGCTGCAAGAGTGGATAAGCATATTAAAGTGATTTTCCTTGGGATCAGCTCTGTTCTATAAAGTTTAAATTGTTAATATGAATTCTGTAGAAGGTTAGAGATTCAGCAAACCTAGAAAGATGATCTGAAACATTCTGAGTGAGAAAAACACCGATTACAGAGTCTAAAACTGATCCCTTCCATGGAGAAAATCGCCTGTCCCCTGTGAGATAATATATGACTGTGAAGTGTACAAGAAGGTAGAGCTGACAAGACAGTGTATTAGACTCCTGGGATTGTCAAGGTGCAATGTGCTTGTTTCATACATAACACATGAAATATATACATTAACGTGTATGTGGATGGTTAGGTGTTTAATTGGTATCTGCATGGTGATTGCATAATTGGCTACATATCTCCTTTCCTTATTATTCTGGATAGTCAATGCATGTATGTGCATCAAATAGTTGTCCTTTTCCAGCCCTTTTCTGGTTAGTTCAACAATACCATTAATAGCAGTTATATTTTATCTGATAGCGTACTCTGGGGAAGATAAACCATATTTCGAGCTGAAACTTATTAATTAGACAACCAGTGGGCTAATTTGATAACTGTGTAAGAATACCTTGGACGAGATGCATGCGTGCAATAAATGAGTCTGCTCTTCCACGGAACATTCCTCTTTCTTCTTCCCACCATTTTTCCTTTTCTTCATCTGTGCCGTCAATTCCTTCACTGTTTATATTCTCTAACAAAAGTTTCCACACTCTACTCGTCTCATCATCAAGGTCAACTTTAGGCCGTGGGCGGCTTCTTTTGACCCGATTAAATGAGCTATCAAAAGGGATAAGAGCTCCATTTCTTTGATATGGAACTAGGGCATGTTGGTCTTGGTAATTCGTATGGTAGGAGATAAATGCATTATGCTTTTTGCTGCTCTTTGCATTCAAATCAAGTTGGTTAAATTGCTCAATGATAGCATCAATTGGAGACTTGCGCATCCATGTTATAGCCAGCGGAGTACCTGCATTAAATGTCACAAGCGCATCAGAAAGGATAATTTCTGAAAAACAGCAATCATATGCCTATTGATTACCCATTGATCTGGCAACTAATTGGTGGTCACTACGTATGTTTTGCACTGTTGAATTGATAAGCAAACTTTTCTTTGGTTGCTTCTTTGTCATCATCGTTGCATTTGTATCAGCTGCAAGGGCTTTTGGATCTTGAGCAGGGCCTTTGGATCTCTTTTTATGTGGTTGGTGTAGAATTTCAAATCCTTGTGCAGTTTTCGATGATGTTGCTACACTGCATGGCGAAGTTGGCAATTGTCCATAAATTTCGAGGGGTGACTCCAAGTTCCATATTGGAGCAGTTCCTTTGGATCTAGTTTCCAATCTCTCTGAAGTTCCCAAAGCTGACAGAAATTTGAGTTTTTTTTGTTCATTCTGAGTACCATCAGCTGCTGCAACTTCCTGATTTTCTGAGGCAATAACTGTGAAGTGCATGCTGGATGTCACTGAATTGTGTCCTTTCTCAATTCTCTTTGTACCGTACATTGCAGGAAAATGCATGCCAGGAGTGCAATCACCGTTATCTGTATATTGTGGAAATAAAGCACTGTATGCCTGCAAAGAATTGTGCAAAGTCCCAGTTGAATTTGACATGCTAAACTCTGCTTCAACAGTTGTATCCCAGTGTTGTCTCTTTAATCCTTTTTCTTGTGTTAACTTTATCAAGCATGCCGTGCTGCTGCTATCAGAGTCACTTGGGCGCTTTTGTATCAACCCAGCATCGGAATTCTTAATCACCCGTACAGTATTTCCTTCTTCATCGTGAGTGAAATCCGAAAATATGATTTGACATTTTCCTCTTGTACCTACTTTTTGATCCTCGAGTGTCGATTTATCATGTAGTGTATCTGTCTTGGAACGAGGAGAGGGGCAAGAGGAATGTCCTTCAGGTTTTGATAGGTAACCTTTCATTACCTGCTTCATAGAGCATGTAAGATCATAAGCAATGTTCCCATCAAACTTTTTCATTGAGGCTTCCCTCCCCTGTATGGTTGATCCTGATTGATCTTTAGCATTGAAGTTCTGCGCTTGTGATTCCATGTCAAAATTTGGAGATGGATGGGGTTGTGAGTTTTCATCTCTTACTTGGCCTTCAATGTCAAAATTCAGTGATCTCCTGCAGGTCTTTCCAGGGCGCTGAACCGTTTTGGGATCAGTTATTTCACAGGTTTCCTGATCTGGGCCAGTTGCTGCAGGTTTGTTGACTCCCTTTCTTTTCACATACTTCTTCTTACCAGTCATGGTTTCCTTGGAACTTGAGGCATTTGTGTTTGCATCTGAACCATTTATTTCCTTCTCGAGGGGAGTATCTGTTGTGGGATTATTTACTCCTTTTCTCCGAACATACTTTCTCTTTACTCTTGTGGTTTCCTGGGGATCAGAAGGCCTTCCAACACTTGGTTTAAGAGTTATTTGAGATTGGCCTTCTATAATCACTTTTGGCCTGTGCTTTTTTCTCCTTGGTTTCAGCTGTGGCGTTTTGCTCAAGTCAACGTCCTCAGTGCCTCCGTTGTCAGGCTTGTGATTCTCCTCCAACTGTGTGGACATGGTTTCGCACACATGATCAGTAGCCAACTGAGACAGTTCTTTTGTTTGGAGGAATCCCTCTAGTTCGACCCTCTTGATGGCAATTTCCTTCTGCTGCACATGTTGTGTGCTGAGCATCTCATCCCTGCTTAAATTTGGCATGGCCAGGCCCTGTTTTTCATCGGTTCTTGCAGTCTTCTCTGGTGTTATAGGTGCAAACTGGGATGAAACTACCTCGCTAAAGGTTGAATCTGCTGTCCTAGATGGAAAATTGAGGTCAAAGGGCCTGGAATGAATACATCTTCCATCTGTAGGATACAAGTTCGAATTCATATTAGTGCTAGGAAAAAGAGAAACCATTTGCAGATATTTAAGCATAGCTATTCTTCAGTTTCTCGTGAGGATATACATTGCCTAAAAGTACATATTATTTTTAAGATGCTAATGCTGTGTTGTGCCGATGAAATCATTGCTTGAAAGCTCGCGAAATTGAAGCTTTAGTTGAAACAGATACTTGTATCTCTCACAGATTTTCTGACCCTGCTTCTTGTGCTTCATTCTGATTTTGATATTTCATTTAATCACTTCCATCTTTCTATGCAGTTTTTAAGTTGCAGGCAAATATTGTTGGGTTCCTCGCTCTATGGGCACTGGGAATGGCCACATTCATAAAAATGAATCTTGCCTCGTGTACAATCAATTTTTTTTTATCCCAATTCCTGGCTGATAAGTCTTATGTAAGTTCCCACCATGAAGTTATCAGTTAACTTTATAATATGGTTCATAATGTCATACCGATAATTGAAATAACAGCATTACAAAATCGTACTATAAAGAGAAGCTAAATTAAGGACACTCACCATTGGAAATATTCTGTATGCTGTTGGATTCATCTAGAAAAGTGTCTAAATTAGCGAGTGAAGAATTTTCAAATGATATTGTACATTGTCTACCATCAATCGTATTTTGTAAATTCGGCTTGAAAGAGCTGCTTGTTGCGTTAAAAGCAGTCTGTGCACTTGCATTGTTGCCAGCTGCATCTGCTAGGGCCAAGAGTTCTCCAAAAGACACCCTGCTTCCCATGCCTTCTTCATTTACAGGAAAACCGTTCCTGCACAAATCATCACTATTAACTCGGGATTTTGCGGCTATGTCTGCTTCCCGAGTGTTGAAACTCCCGTATATGTTAAGAGCATTTGCCGAGTTCCAACATGCAGCTGGATTTTCTTGCTGGAGCCCCTCTGAAATCTGATTTACTTGCAAGATTTTTTCTGATTTTAGCCCATTAGTATGAAACCCCTGATTATCTTGCCATTCTGTGCAGATCGGCTCTGCCGGGGTCAGAGGAACCCAAGAACAACCGATCAATTCCGAGACCAAGCCCTTTTGCTTATCTTCCATCCTGCAGCGTTCGTATGTTTCTTATACCCTCTCTTCTTTTTAGCTATTTCTGTTGAGTAATTATTTGCACTTCTTCAGCCCTTAAGTAATTCACAACACAGGAGAATCACTTCTCGCCAATTTTTCATCCCTGTCAACTCAGATTACTGACGTTTCTGCCAGATAAAAATGACAAATTATTCAACAGAAAGTATAAACATCAGGAACTGGGGAAAAATAAAAAAAGCATCACATAATTCTGTCAATTTTGAAAAATCATAACAAGCAGAGGTCCTATCAAAATCTCGTGAAAAACGGCATGAATATTCTTAAATTTTGATAAATATTAATTAAAGTATAAATTTGCATTAGATGAACAGAAAATGGCATTATTCTCACACTGAATCTGATGCAGAATACTTTTTTCCAAAGCCGACTGTTGGAAAAATTTACGATAACGAAAATTTTGATGAATTTAGGCAAGCGTTTACTATCAGACTCACCAAATTGTTTGCGGTCAAGATCTGGCAAAGCAATTGACGGTGAGACAAACTGAGCAGAATATTTCTTCATAGGAGAGAGAAAGAAAGTAGGAAAGAGTGCAGTTGCAAAGAACAGGACATTTATCCACGTAAAGAACAAAATTTGAACTCGACTTTCTTTTTCACTCGTTTGAAATATCATAACGTCTACTTTCGAGTCTCATATTCGATCATTCGTAGTATGAAAGTACTTGTAAGAACATTGTTAACTTTGAATTCAACTTTCTTTTTCATTCGTTTGAAATACTCTATTGTCTACTTTTGAGTCTCATATTTGACCATATGTGTAAAGTTTTACAAGTCAAGAGAATCTTGTACAAGAAACCTGGATTCTCTTGACTTCTAAAATATCAGGTTTCGATGACAAATATCATTTTTTGTATCGTTATAAGAATTTGAGATCATGTAATTATAAAAAAATGTTGGATCAAATAAAATAAATCATTATAGCAATTAAAGCAACTTGTCAAATATTCTACATAAATTGCTAAACGAGGTTTTCTATTTCCTGCAGTTAACCTTTGGCCCTTGCACCAAACATTGAAATCCCATGAAATTGAGTTCTTGTAAATTTCAACTTTCATCCCAATTTAGTCAAGTCTTATTTCAATTAATCACACAAATGAATCCAAAAATCACACTTCAACTTTACCTTGGATATGTTGGGATCATTACTCCCACTTGACGTGTTAAATTGTCCACATGGGGAAAAAATGCACTCAATTGATTGACATAAACTTCAATCCCCATTTGGAGGCTTGGAAGGAGTTCAATGACATTGAGGAATTTAACTAGGTATAATTTTATCCAGGTGGACAATTTAAAATCGTCAAGATGTCACGTATATTTTTTCATTGGACATTCAAAATTTTCGTCAATTGGGAGTAAGAAGTTTTACTCTAGTGGTGGATGTGTAATACTTTGAATAAATGAGTGAAACAATGGGCCACATTTTTCGTGCAGTGAGTAAATAGTAATTTAGAGATAAGTTTAATGAGTATTTATTTAATTAATTCGATAATTTAACATTGTCAATGTGTTGGGTCAGGTTTCAATGGACATGTGGCAATTTTCGTCAAGTAGGAATAATAAATCTTATTCCAATGATGGATGAGTAATAATTTGAATAGATGAGTGAGCAACGTGTAAACAAATTTTGTTTAGTGAGAAAATAGTAACATAGAGATACGTTTATTGAGCATTCATGTAATTAATTCTTATGTATTATGAAGAATTTTTGATAGTTTTAATTAAAATGTATGCAGTTGTGATACAATAGCACTTTGATACGACCGTTATGTTCATAACTTTGGCATGTATTATACATTTAGAATAACGTTGTTTGAAACTTAGAAATCCGTTCTTGTACCAATAGCATAAAAGCTCTTTAAGAGAGAAATAGTCAACTATGCAGAGATGAACATTTGTTTATTTAAGTACGAACGTTTTAACTTATTCACTCTTAAAATATATTGGAAATTGTTTACGTTATATATGATGTGTTACTTGAGTCACGTGGAATACGAGAAGAAATTAAAAAACAATAAACCAAAAAGCTATGCCCCTTTTTCAGTGACATTTAAAATTAAATTTTTAGTATAATTTGATAAAAGTTGACAAAATATGTGATTGAAAAGTTATAGAACGGATGCGTAACGCGTGGGAATCTGTGGAACAGTTAGGGCCAAATCTTGAAGAAAGGCTAAAAAGCGCGATTTGACGAGTCTCTTAAAATATGTGATTAAAATTAATTATTGATTTTAAAACTAAATTAAAATATGAATTTTAATCCGTACTAAAAAGGGGCGTAGAAGCGTTAAATTAATATTGAGAATAATAATAATTAAATATTGCGTAAGGACAACCTCGGTTGATTGTCAGTTTCTTTGTTTTCATTTTCCCTTGATTTCCGAGTCCTTGACGGTGCCGTTATGACGCCGTTGGTGGTCCCGCCCTACTAAGATAATGATGCACCGGTAGTTGGGGATGGTAATCTGATTTATTAGTTGAAGTAAATCCTTGTATTTGTGATTGGACGGTAGTATCCTTTGTTGGTGAGCAAGTTATTATGAATTTTTTATTTAAAATTTGCTTAGGGTGTTATATGTTATAATAGAAAAGATATATAGCCTTTGTTTGGTATAATTAAAAAATAGATTTTTAATAAATTTCGATAAAAATTGATGAAATATATAAATAAAAATTAATTATTAATTTTGACTTAAATCAAAATATTAATTTTTATTCCCATCAAACAGGCCATAACCTCTGTTTGGTATCGCTAAAATATTGAATAAAATCTAGTCAAAGTCAATAATTAATTTTAATCATACATTTATAGGATTCAAAGTTTTTCAACCACGTATTTTATCAATTTTTATTAAAATCTATTAAAAAATTTATTTTAATCTCTATCAACCAAAGACATATTATGTATAATATACTATGCCCTTAATTGAACCACATTATTTTCACAAAAAAATGTATTTTTGAATAGTTTATTGATGAAAAATTGTAGTTAAAAAATAAGAAAAAATTTGAATTTACGTGTAATATTATTTTATTGAAGAATATATAATTAAAATAATGTAAAATCACTGTTTAAAAATGTATTTTTTTTTTCAAAAGAATGTGGCTCAAACAGGGTGTATATATAATAATTGCGTCATGAAAATGTAAATAAAATATTAATTTTTGTGGATTTTACATGAATATAAACATTATTTACCTATATTTAATAACGGGATATTATTAACAATTGGATTAATATTCTTGTTTTGTAAGTTTAAAAGTACGTTATTTTTCTTACAAGTCAATTTTAAAGATAAATTTTTACTGAAGTGCTTGCAGTTGTCATAAAGTAAAAGTAGTTGAAGTCGTTAAGTCTTTTTATCTATTAATTAAAAAATAGTTGAATTCGTGCATGTTTGATTTAGGCTATGTTTGAGCCATATTTTTTTTTTTTAAAAAATATAATTTTAAACAGTAATTTAATATCAACCATACATTTTTTAATAAAATAATATTACACATAAATTCAAAACTTTTCTTTACTTTTCAACTACATATTTTCTCTCAATACACTTTTTAAAAATACATTCCTAGGAATATAATATCGCTCAAACAAGGGCTTAATTTGAGATGTAGAATTTGTGATTTTATAAGAGAGATAGTAAGTAGAATATGTGTTTATTATGTAATTTTCTTTTGACAAGAAATTCTCTTTATGTGCATGCTATTACATTATTATTATTATTATTATTATTATTATTATTATTATTATTATTATTATTATTATTATTATTATTATTATTATAATAAAATACTTATTCAAAAATATTAATTATCAATTAGTTATGTAATCAGCAGTTTGTTAACATTTTTGAATGGAAATTCCATAACAAAATATTGTTTAGCCTTTCGTTTAATGAGAAACGATAAATTGTAGACAAGTCATCCATTATTATTTGTGTTTAATAAAAAATGATAAATTTCCATTTCTTTTATCGATCAAAAAGAAGTTAAAAGGCATTAAGATTTTTCTTCTGTCAATTAAAAAGTAGTTGAAGGCGATAAGATATTAATTTTGAAAATGATATTATTGCCCAACACAAAGGTCATATAAAAGTTTTTCAATTTGCCCTCGGGGCACAGCTCAACTGGTGAATCAATCAACATTGGCTTGCTTCCAGCGGCAGGGTAGAGAGTTCGATTTCTGGTAGGAACTTGCGGCCAAAAAATTTGGTATGGAGCAATCACTGTGGAGGAGGGTCTCTTGTGCGCAGAAGTTTACAGTCAATGGGGGGAACCTGTGATCCAGTTGAGGCATATCCCGCGATTTACCCCCTCCAAGGGTTTAGAGGTATGGGTCTTGGAGGTCCAGAATTTAGTCTGGTGTAAGTTGGGATACCTGGATATCAAAAAAAAAAAAAAAAATAGTTTTTCAATTCCAAATTACAAATTCTAAAGAAGGGCCAAACAAAGGGTCCCACTCTCTGACCACCACATTTTACAAAAATTAATTGTATTCTATTACTATTTCAAGAAAAGAAGTGTTTTAGAAACCGGGATTAAATCCCAGGTTTCACCTCGGCCCTTGACCTTCAATCACGTGGAGTTCGGGGTTCGCACGATTTACATCTTGGATCGAGGTTTTGCCATCTCGACCCTTGGCTCCAATCTTTGGATTTTATTCCTGTTTGAGCAGCAATTTCCTTTCCAGAATGCTTATTAATGATCATTGTAAAGATAAAATAAAATAAATTTGGTGGGACAGCCATCTATCAATTTAATTGGATGTTTTACTTCTACGGAAAGAATTGAATTGACAGCCTTAATATATAATTGGTTGTTTAATTAGTGTTATTCATGAGGCCATACCTATTAGTATTGTAGTAAAAATTATCTTCTTTATTCAATATAATATTTACAAATTTTGTCTTACCTCTTGTATGTATAAATCATAGTTGTCACTATTAACCTTTTAGGATTTTAGATGAAGAGAATTATTTGTTTTAACTTTTAAGATTATGATCTCATTTTAATTTCTAGAGTTCTATTTTTTTTCCCATAATAGATAAATTTTTGCATTCATTTTAAACATTATAATATGGGTATTAATCGAGGAAGCAATTTGTACATACATAAAAAAGATTGAAAAGCTATCAATAATGAGTTACCCTCTAATAGTTTAACAACAACTTTGAATGAAAATTCCATAATAAATTTTATTTGGTGAGAAACGACGATTAGTGAACAAGTTATCTTTTTAATTTTTTTTAATAAGAAATATTAATAAATAGTTAGTTATTTTCTCCAATTCTCCTATCAATTAGAAAGAAGTTGAAGATGTCAAGATTTTTATTTTATAAATTAAAAAGTAGTTCCGAACGATAATATAATAATAAAACTGATGATTGTTGGAGACGACTTATAAAAAAGGCTATGTAACGGTTGGTTTTTGATATATTTGTTTGACCAGTTTTAACCCGTAAGAGCGTGATCAAAACACAATTTATATGAATGAAAATTTG